TTTACTAATTGTTTCTAGGTGAGATGTGGAGGTCCTCCTTTCCCCATTAAAATCAAACTGCTGTGTGAAAAAGAGCAAAAGCAATGAATGAAATACTTAGTAAACAGCCTGTGCTATGTATCTTGAGTGGTTTATTTTGCAGCAGCTTCCAAGCAGTAAGTATTACCACTCAGAAAATTGCATCCACACTAATTCATTCTGGTGATACATTAAAACTCCTTTTCAATCTGGAGTTAAAATGTGATGCAGAGAACTGGTCTGTACAGGTGTCCAATTGCCCCTAAATACCGGATGCATTTGTTTCTAGTGTGAAGCACATCAGAAAGTTCTGTCTCTTACCACGAGACTCATCTCTCCTACCGGTGAAGCCCAGATCTACCTTCTGAAAAATAAATAGCTTGAACTATAATAGATACTATGTTGGCGTTTGAAATGGTAAATATGATGGAGGTAAAACACTGTTTTACAATAGGCAGCATGCAAGGTAACCCATGAAAGACTTTCTCCAAATGTTCAACTATGGTATTTCTGATATAGATTCATAGATGCCAGGGTCAGAAGGGACCTCAACCAGATCATCAAGTCCGACCCCCTGCCTAGGCAGGAAAGAGACCCCCAAGGGACCCCCATAGTTTCAGATGACCCCAGCCAGATGCCTATTCAGCCTTCTCTTACAGACCCCCAAGGTAGGGGAGAACACCACCGCCCTTGGAAACCCATTCCAAATTTTGGCCACCCTTACCGTGAAGAAGTTTTTCCTGATATCTAGCCTAAATCTTCTCTCTGTCAGTCTGTGACCTTTGTTCCTTGTTCCCCCAAGAGGTGCCCTGGTGAACAGAGCATCTCTGATCCCTTGCCGTGTCCCTCTAATGAATTTGTAGGTGGCCACAAGATCACCTCTCAGCCTTCTCTTGCAGAGGATGAAGAGGTCCAGGTCCATCCGTCTCCCCTCATAGGGCTTGTCCTGTCCTCATAGTTGGGGGTTGGACTTGATCTGTTGAGGTCCCTTCCAAACCTAGCATCTATGAATCTATATCAGAAATACCATAGTTGAACATTTGGAAAAAGTCTTTCATGGGTTAGCTTGTACGCTGCCTCTTATCTAACACATCTTCTATTTAGCAGACTGAAGAGAGAAAAGATAAATTTGGTTTAATACCAGTATAGCTTTTGCAGCTCTAGTCATATAAAATAATTGTATTAGTGGCATCCAAGATCACTTCTTTCTTTGGATAGAGAAGATAAAAGAAAATCCCTAAAGAACCAATTGATTAATAGAGAAACAATGAAATCTTCCGAATTGTAATTACTGATACAGCGCCCCACCCTTCTCTAGGATGTTCAAGTTCTCTGGTACTGACAGCCGCATATACCTGCTTATCAGACAAAAGGAAGAAAATGCAACTGTGCATCAAGAGAGATGAAGAGGAGTATTTTCCAGAAGATGTTACCAATTTAAACTCTGCTGAAAAGCAGGCTAAATAAAATCAGTTCAATGCAAAAGCACTTAGGGTCACAGCTTATATTGATCCACACTTTAGTTGATTGTTGTGCACAGGTTTTCAGAACAATGAAGACACCAGGCATGTATGTAATAACTACGCAGAGCAGGGAAGATTACAGAAATGGTATAAATGTGTGCACTAATACCCAGTGTTTGGTTCCTTAACTACTCTTCTAGCACTTGTGAAAATCTCATCCTTCATCTCTACATGAAAGAGCAGGAAACCAAACCAAGCAAAAAAAAAAAAAAAAACCCAAAAAACCCCCAAACCACCCACACATTATGACTGCTTCATAAGCTAGTTGGGAATTTTAGCTTGAAAGCTAAGGTGGTAGTAAGGGGACCTGCAGTCAAACTTAATGACACGTCTGAATTTATGCTAACATATTTCTCACTAAAATCGTGCTGGATCATTGAAAACAAAGATGGCAGCCTTGGATTCTACTTGGTTCTCAGCGGTCTCCTGTCTAGTTAGGGCTGTCATAAAAAGATACCATTCACATTTTGCCAAAAAATCTGAGGTCAGGAGGGAAAAAGATGATCCTTTCTAAGATTTCAAGCTGCAGTAAGTGTGCTATTTAGCAAAAATACTCAGAGGTTTGAAATGTGTTATTTTGCATTAAACCAAAGAAAGCTCTTCCTATTTCTATCACAAAATCACGAGACCTCTATATTTCCCAGAGACCAAAGTCTAGTGGCTAGTACAATCCCATTGAGCATAAGACACCCAGGATTCATATCCCTTGTCTGAACTGGACTGGACAACACAGGGACTTGAACTAGCGTCTGCCATTTCCAGGTAAGAGCTCAATTCTAATGGGCTATTAATCATGCAGGGCTCTCTCTGACCTTGAGAAGAAGTTTCATCCTGGAAATAGGAAACTCTTGCTACTGGAAATTCTATTCCTGCTGGTTTCAGCAAGGCAATATTTTCTCAAAAAAGAAATGCTGAGAATTTCCTGACTGGCTTTAATTTCCTCCTCCTTTAAAGTCTTGCTTTTCTCCAGCTCAAACAGAAAACACCGACCCACCCAGGAAAAAAAATTAGACAATGCTCCAGTTCGCTCGGGAAATGCACCACTTTCCTAGTCACCATGCATGGTCTTTAGAGCGCAGCTTACTATTTGAAATACCAGATTAGCAATGGTTTCTGGTAGAGGCCTATGCACTTTAGAGGATGGCAGCTACCATCGGACTTATACTGCACATGATGCACCAAGCCTCTGTCTAGCTCTACCAAGGTATCAGAGGAAGTGCTAAGCTGTGACAATGAAACAGTTCTAAACTATTTTATAAATTTCACTCTAGAAAAGCAACTTAAAGAACCCTACACCTTCCTAAAGAAATTGTGAAAAGGCCTGGCAGAAAATAATGCAAACCACAGATCCCAGGCTTTAAAAAGATTCAAAGTTATAAAAACTCCAAGTGCTGGCTCTCCTCTGCCAGCTTGAACTCTCAGTCTCAGGCTGCTTGCAGACATTAAAAACAAGCAAACCCCAAAACACAAAAACCAAAAAAACGTTGTTTTACCAGAAGCAGCAGCATATTATTTCAACCTGGCTCTGCAGCATCTGCACAGATTGGGCACTTCAATGGGGCTTTTTGCTGCTTTTAGCTTAAGCTGATTCAATCAGCTATTAGATAGAAGTGCCAAAAAAGCCCCACTAAAGCACCTGATCTATACAGATGTTGGACGAGCCAGGTCCAACTAACACACTGCCTCTTCTGGGTATGTGCTGGGCTCGGTGCAGGAACATGCTGAGCTTAAAGTAAACTGCCACTTTTTTAAATATAGTTTAAAATCCACAAGCAGCCTCAGTAAACAACTGTCGACTATTGTTAACATAACAGTTTCAAGGCAGATGAATCCCATTCAAAAATCAGGATTTTAAAGGCAAATCCACTGTAACAATTGAATTGCATGACTGACTTTCTTAATAAAAAAGTAGTAAGATCTAGGACACATACTGATCATGTCAGGACCTAAAATGCTCAAAGAAAGATATAGAAAGATTAAAATAAATCCTCTAGCAAAATGAGATATCACTTTAAGATGACTAGAAGAGGCCCCTTGACTGGTAAGCCTGTTTGACAAACTCTCATACTATGAAAAAAAATATGAAAGCCATCAAAGCCAAGAATCTCTGATGCAAAGGAACATTTTTGGAACAGTAAACAGGCTAAGAGAAATATTTT